GCCCAGATCCCTGTGCCCAGATCCCAGTGCCCAGATCCCTGTGCCCAGATCCCTGTGCCCAGATCCCTGTGCCCAGATCCCAGTGCCCAGATCCCTGTGCCCAGATCCCTGTGCCCCACTGCTCCCGTGCCCGGGCTCCGGGCAGACCCCGCGTGTCCCCCAGGGCTGGTCCCGGCGCCCAGGAGCCCGTGGGCACAGCGGAGGATGCTGAAGCAGCCGCAGGCGGGGATGAGGAAGCCAGGCCAGCACAGGGAGACTCGTCTGCCCCGGGCACGGCAGCAGCTGCCGAGGCAGCAGCAGCAGCAGCAGCAGCAGCAGAGGGGGAGCCGTCTGTCCCCAGCACGGCCGCAGGTACCGGGCCGAGCTGAGGCTGAGCCCCCCCTGCCCCGCTGAGCCTCTGCCCACCTGCGGCACTCGGCCCCCACCCCTTGCAGAGCCGCTCTCGGCAGCACCAGGCACCACCGAGGAGCCACCAGTTAATGTCACCATCACCGTGACGGCGACACCGTGACCGCTCCGGCTTTTGCTCTTTATTTCCCTTCCCTCCTCTCTTCCACACCACGGGACGGCAGCAGCCACCTGTGCCGTGCTGGGCTGGGAGGCAGCCGGCTCCAAATGCAGCACCCGGTGAAAGCCCCTCCAGCTCAGGCTCAGGCCTGCAGTTACTGCTGGAGCTAAAATAAATATTTAGGCTACAATAAATAGTTTCTCACCGATGGCAGAAAAAAAGCCTGAGGGCTGAAGCGCCGCTCTCAGCCCCAGGCATCGACAGGGGATGCTGCTTTGGGGCTGTGCTGAGCTTTCTGTGGTGCAAAAACAGCCACAAAGCTTTTTGTGGGAAGGGGCCTCATCTTCGCTCCAAGATCCCCAGTTTCAGGCAAAACTGCAGGAGGTTAAAAATAGTGATTTGAGATGGTTTTTCCCTGCACTGGCGCAAGCATGAAGGGAAGCAGGCTCCAAGTAAAGTGTCAGGCAGTTACCAGCTTCCCTGAGTCCTCATCTTCTGGTGTGTGTGGAAACAAGGGCACCTTGGGCCATTTTCAACTGTATTTGGTTAATCATAACCCATTGGGAAGTATCAAGTCACATGAACCAACCTCAGTCAGTGTGCACAGACTATCAATCCCCACACCAGCCACAAATCAGCATTGATCCCTTTATCAAACCACTGCCAGAAATACAAACCCTGCCCAAAGCCCCTGCAAAACCATCACTTCCAAACACACAACATTCCAAAGGGATATTACAGTTTCTCTGGAAAACAGAGCATCTTTATCTGACACACCCACAATACAGGGGAGATTTAAGCAAGGTTGTTTAAAACCATGGTTAAATTTCAGTGTTTGGGGAAAACGAAGCAGACAGAGTTAAATCCCAGCCACTTGTCTGCCAATCTCTGTTGGAAAAGGGGAAAGCCTTGCAGCAGGTCCTGCAAAAGGAAAATCCATGAGGATGAGATAAACAAAACAGGATGTGGGAGATCTGTGGTGTCTCTGGGGTACGTGGCAGCCAAAGCCCACGGGTGTGAAGTCCATGGTGTGTAGAGAACTTTGGAATAAGGCAGCTCTAGCTGGGAGGATGCACAACCCTAAAAAAAAAAGGCAAAAAATAAATATAACCACAAATAATGCAATAGAAGAGAAGGCTTTGGGGAGAGCTCATTGTGGCCTTCAATAAACCCCTGAAAGGGGCTAATAAAAAAGAGGGAGAGGGATTTCTTATACAAGCAGACAGGACAAGGGAGAATGGTTTCACACAGAGAGCAGGGTTAGATGAGATATTGGGAATAAATTCTTTCCTGTGAGGATGGTGAGGCCCTGGCATAGGTTGCCCAGAGAAACTCTGGCTGCCCCTGGATCCCTGGAAGTGTCCAAGTTGGACAGAGATTGGAGTAGCCTGGGATAGTGGAAGGGGCTAGAACTGGGTGAGCTTTAAGGTTTCTCCCATATCAAACTGTTCTGGGATTCTATGAAACACAAAAACCCCATCCCAACACTTGGAGCAGCCCATGGAGCTGCTGCTACCAAAGCAGATCTCCAAGGCTTCCTTCTCACACAGACATCACTCCCCAAACCTTGTGACTGGCAAAGCTGCACCAGTAGCCCTGAGCTCCCCAGGGCTTGGAGCAGCTGCAGCCAGGCTGGCACAGCTCCCTCCCTTCCCAGACTGGCCAGGGACGTGCTGCTCTGGGCTGCAGATGTCACCTCGGGGTGCCCATCACTGTAAATTGTGCTTCATTTCTGCAGCTTTGCACTGTGACTCATGGTGGGGGGAGGGAGTGCTTTGTGAACACTGGTTTGGTTTATTTACTGGGATTAAATTTGGAAAAGAAAAATTACAACACCCACCCAAAGCCCTGTAGTTAAGGCTGCAGCACCTCCATCGTGCTGTGTCCAGGATGGGCAGGTTCCTGGCAGCCGTGCCCAGGGCTGGTGGGAGCTGCTTCACCATGACTGGTTTCATTTCAGAGCTATCCAAGCTGTTAATAATCCCTCAAACCAAGAGCTGAGCTGTATTTTGTCTTCTGAAAGTGGGAAAGTGAGGCTGGATTTCCACCTGTACTTCTGCAGAAGCACCTAAAGGCACAGTCACTGACCCAAGTTCTGCTTCAAGCTGCACAGGACAGACTCCACCAAGGCTCACTTTTCTTATTAATCTTCTTATTTCCTCATTGGGATCTTCCCAGCAAAACCAAAAGAGGCCAGGAGGTGTTCATGGAAAGGAGGGTTCAAGTACCATGTCACTGAGCTGCCAGGGAGGTGGCAGCTGTTGGTCCTTTCAGACCTGCTTAAATCCCTCTCTTGGGCTCCTCAGAAGAGCCTGTCCCACTGGTAAATTGCCACGGAAACACACTCCACATTTCCCATCCTCATTCTTTATATTATTACAATTCTTTTTTATACACATAACCAGGCTAGTTTTGTGGTGTGTGGGGGGGAAGAAAAAAAAAACCAAAAAAACAAAAAAGGGATTTCAAGGCATAAATAATATAAAAAGACAACCATTTTGAAACCAAGATACATTCATATGACACTACTACAAAAAATAAATAGTGACTCTCTCTGTTATAATTAACATCCCCCCGTGACTCCCTCTCAGCGACGCTGCGGTGCAGTTCCTGGCGTTCAGTGGGGACCACGGTCACTGCCTCAGGTTTCCCGCAGCTGGAGCTGACAAAGGTCCCCAGAACCATTTAGGGTGACTCCTGATGAACTCCATCCTAGTTTTTCCTTACAGTCCTTGGAAACAGGCTGAAGAATGAGGGGACTCCAGCTCAAAATGTGGTTCGATGTTTCCGAGTGCACGCAGCTGCCGCCTGCAAAGCAAGAGCAGGGCGGGTGGTTGTGTTGGGTTTTTCAGGAGACTCTCTGTCAGCTCAACAGACCCACACGCCCCAAAAACTCTTTAATTCCAGTGGGTGATGCTCTTTGGGCTCAGGCTCATTCCCACATAGCAGGCACAAGTACAGGGCATAGGCTCTGTGCCAACACAGCACCTGAGCACGCTGAGGTCAGCCCAGCACTGGAATAATAAAACCTGCTCTGAGATGGCTATTGCTGAAAGCAGCCATGAAATAACGCTTTAGGATTCATTTGCACGTGGTCACAATTCACACAACTGCTACATTCACCCCAAATCAGCAACAGCTCCAGGCATTTGGTGGAAATGGGTCAGTGAGGAGCTCACAGCACCAAGGCCCCACTCCTGATCTGGCACACCCTGCCAGAGGTGTGTCCACCTGAACCTCCCTTCCCCTCCTGCCACGGGGGTGCAGAGGGAGCTGCCTGATTTCAGCACACAAGCTGCAATAATTCCAGGGTGGGACAAAGTACAGGTTCTCTTTCCACCAACAGAGACTGGTCCCTTCCTGTGCCAGTTGCAGCCTCCAGGATGGCTCTGGAACACCTGTGTGTCCTGTGTCAGGGCCAATGGGTGTGCTGTGAGTGCAGCACACATCAGTCACAGCCTCATGTGCTCAATGAGACCTTTTTAGAGGCATCAATCACAAGGGCATGACAGGACCGGGCACTGGAGCAGCACTGCTCCCTCTTTCTGCGATGGGAAAGGCGAGACACTTCACCTTCCTCCAAGCCTGTTCTTACAAGCCTTTAATTACCGGCTTCTCCGCAATAAATTAAGCTCCCTCTAGATGTCATATAGAATATTCCCAGCTTCCCAGGCAGGTGCTATCCTCTGTGGGATGCCTCACCGTCCATGCAATCCACAGAGAGCTGGCTCATGCCCTCCCGACAGCAGGGATGCTGCGCCGGGGGCTGCTCCGCGCTCTCCCTGCCCTCCTCCTCCAGCCGGGCGCTGCACTCGGGGGTGGCCGAGGCCAGGCACATGGCCACCATCACATGGGGGCTCAGGGGCTTCATCTCCACACCATCCTGCTGGAAAGGGGCTCCGAGGGGCACCACGGGCAGCGCGCTGCTGCCAAAAGTGCCGTTGGTTTTGGTGAAACACCTGCGGGAGGGACAGAGGCCAAAGTTACTCAGAGTGGCTTCTTCCCCCTCTTCTTCTTCCCTCCACCCCCACAACTTTTCAGTGTTTTACCACATCAACAATCAGAGCATTTGTCAAATCAGTTTTAAATATATTTGTGGAGCGATTCTGACATTAAGAAAAGGATCGAGTAGTTTTTTTTTTCTCCCAGCAGACAGCTGAAAACGTTCAAAACACGCTCAGTTCCTTCCCCCATCGATTGAGACCCAGTGACCTGACTTGTGAGTCCATTTCTCCATCAAAGCAACTCCATAAAACATGTCTTCACTGCCAAGATAAAGAGCTCAAATTTGAAACCCAAGCAGCACACTTAAGTACCTTGAAAAATAAATACTAAGTGTTATTGGAGTGAATGCAAATTAGAAAAATAGATGTAATATAACAAATTTAACCCCCCTCCTTCTGCTGTGTAAGTCAGATTGCAGCCCTGTAATACCTGTGTAAAATGGTGGAACTGATATGAAAAGGCTGAATCAATTGTTACAGCTGAGGTATTTAAGCTTTAAACAAAAAGGAGCAGGACTTTGACACACATACCATTGCGTCATGAGGGAAAACACCTCAGTGTTTGCAGCCTCAGGGAACATTTATATAAACAATTCCTACATAAGAAAGCCATATCTACCCCAAAAGCAAAAGGTTCACTTGCACAGCTACCACAAACTTTGAGAAGCTGCACGCCAAAATGCTCCTTGTTATGTGGTGCAGGAGGTGGATTCACAGATAAACACATGGAAATAAGGATGGAGAGTGTTCACACCCTCCAGTGACACCCCAAAATGCTCCTGTGAAAGCTGAACAGGTTTCAGGTCCTTATGTGCTAGTGCAGACACAACTCTGAGCACTCTTCTCTTTTTTTCCTACCAGTTGTAAACCCATCCCTCACCTGCGTTGCTGACAGGGATCAGCCCAGTGCACTTGCTGTATGTCATCCCTGAGGCTGTTTAAGGCTGGCATTTGGAAATGCAAAAATTGATCCCTGGGACCTGTCTGCTCATCTGCTGGCTCAGCAAGTAGCACTGTGTGCTGCTCCAGACTGATTCTGGCCCAAAACTGAGCAGAGTGGATGAAAAATTGCTGGAAAAGGACTGGGACACCAGCAGTGCCAGGGCAGCAGCCAGCAGAGCTGACCTCGACAACAGCCCAGCACTGAACCCAGAAGGGTTAAAACCAGGACATGTTAAGCTTGGCAGTCTCACTTAAGTCCTGCCTAAGTCCCAGAGAACACTTGTATGCCATTAAAAAAGTCATGGCAATAAGGAAAACCACCACACTGGAGGGAGCTGTCCTACAGCCCTGCCTAGAGCCTCAGTTCACACCTGAAACCTGATCAAAACCTGGAACCAATATTGCTAGAACTGAAAGAGCAACAAAACACCCAACAACACAGATAAATTTATCAGAGGAGGAACTATTGTGAGCTTCCCCTTCCCTTCACCTGCAAAGCCAGAACAGGACAAACGGGCTCCCTCTGGAGCCTGCTCCCCTCCCCAAAGCTGGGAGGATGGAGCAGCACTAAGCTTCAACCTTCACTCTCCTATTTTGTCCTTCTGCTCCTGTAACTGCCTCCAAAATCATTATTCCAAGTACCAAAATACCACAGAAGCCACTGGAGAATCCACATGAAACACATCTGGTCCTCAAACAAATCCATTTATTAGTTTGCCTTTCTCTCCGCAGAGGTTTTGACTGCACTCACTTATTATTTAGAAAAAAAGGCTCAGAGAAACCCATCTAAATGTTTGGGTTTGCATGTTTCTGGGGTTTCTTCTTAAAGATACAGAGGTCAGTGGAGTTCTCTGTATTATTGTAAGAGCTTGAAGGATGTTTCAACACAGCAGTTCAGCCTTCTAAGCTTCAATAACCACAATTTGATGGAAACTAGCCATGGGGATATCCAGAGCAGAGTGTGGAGGAAGAGTGATGTTAAAATCCCTGCTGCAGAAAACACATCTTCTATCAATTCTTAACACTGAAACCCTACTAAACCATAATAAAAAAAAAATAAATAAAATAATAATTTAGATGAAAAAGCTGGAAAAACAAACTGATGTTCCCACATTTAATTTGCACATTTCAGATT